GAGAGAGAGAGAGAGAGAGAGAGAGAGAGAGAGAGAGAGAGAGAGAGAGAGAGAGTTAGCAAAACCTTTTTCTCATCTTCAGTGTCGAGAGCAGAGGTGCCAATAATCGCCAACTTTTCAAACTGTCTCTTATTATGTGGTAAAAAGTTAGACCAGTCGTACTTCTTTGTGTCGATGGCCTGTTGTTTTTGGTATGCGTTGAATTCTTTGGCCATTTTTGTCTAAATAATATACAAATAATACTATAAGAAATCGTTAATTAAGTTAAACATTAAATCAACAAAATTTCAAACAAAAAGGTAAAATTCATGGCATTTGTTGGCAAACCTTAGCCGCTAATGTCTTTTCATTGATGTCTGAATCGTGGGCCCAATTAATGATCGACGCCTTATTACCCCAACCCGTGATTTTGGACTCCAGTGATGCCAGATATTCGGCGCCCGCCTTCTCGTCGCTTATCAACTCGTTTTGTGCCGCTTTTGTGGCTTTTTTCCCGCATTCATAGCCGACACACATTACCCCCATTAACGTACATATTATTGTTAGTTTCATTGCAATTTATGACCTATCTCATTTTAATGAATTTGAATGTAAGTAATGATTAATGCTAAATTATAATTAAATTTAAAGTTTAAGTAAAACAGCTTTAATTGACTTCAAATGATGGTTACAAACAACAGATGTTTTATTAGTTTAGAAGATTTTGTTTCGTATAAAACGTTACAATTTTTTTTGTAATGAATACAGTTTTTATTAATCCAATCAAATGATTGATTCAAATTTATTAAATATTTGAATTATTTAGTCGTTTTAACTGAACATAATTTATATTAGATTTATAACAATTGACTGATTAGTACTTGTTTTTTAGTAAATCAGGGAAATTGATATAAAAATGGCACTAAGAATAAGTGTTAGTGAAGTGATCACTGTGTGGGCGCCGCCGACGTAATCGTCAACTAAACAAAATTTTATAAAAATATATTTTATATCTTTCGGTAAACAAAATGAAAAAAGAGAAAGAAAAATAAATTGAAAGTTAAAAATAATCGATATACTGTATGCTACTTAGCAACTAGAACCAAGAGCAATTATGCTTACCCTTGAATTCCCACCCTTTTGGTTCACCGACCAATTGCTGGTCAAGGAATGTGCTCAACGGCTGGAAATAATCAAGCAATGGCTGGACGTCCATCGTTTCGCTTCCGGTCAGGAGTTTGAGCTGTTCTGGCCATGGCTTGGATGAGCCCAATTCTAACATTGCTCTATTAAATGAGATGGTATTTTAAATTATGTTTTGATTAATGTTATTAAATGTATAGTGACTTCAATTTAGCGCCGGCCTCTCTGTCGCCATCGATATCGCACTCATAGAGTGGGACATCCTTTTGGCTGAAACTGCACAACGCTTTGTGAAACTGAAACTGCAGTAAATGCGAGACAAAGTATCTGAAATTAAAGCCATTGAAGTGTTAATAATAGTAATTATTATAATTTATACAATTAATACCTAATGTATTCAACACTAGCGGGAATGTGGTATTTAGCACCAGGGTCAAAGTCATCTTCGCTACGTTTGACGGGTGGCGACAGTCCCTGGTATTTACCTCTCAGTTCCCACCAGTGTTTGTTCAGGTGGTCGGAAGATGTGGTGCCGGAGAAGACATCCCATCGATACTTATCCATAATGAAGCCGAACGGCAAGAATGCGAGTTTGTCTAAAGCCATCTTAAGCTGGTATTTGATATTCACTTTATCCTTATCTATCGAATCTAATGTCAAAAGTCCTATTTTCTTCAAATGGTTTGGTGTCGACACAGACAGTGCCAACAAATCACCTATCGCTTCGTGAAAGCCTAACACAAATAATTAAATAAATAATTAATATATATTTTAAAATATAATTTAATTTATATTGTTTTCTATACCAGCGTTGGCGCCATCCCTGTAAATGACCGGTTGGTTTTTATATTGCATAAAGTACTCGATGTGTCCCATTTCGTGGTGAACAGTGATCAGGTCCTCCATATTGATGTTTGTGCACTGTTTGATCCGGAAATCATCGCCAGCCGTTGTGTAGAAATCCCAGGCGGAGGCGTGACTGCAAATAATTGCCATTTAATAACACATTATTTTTAATTCAAATATTAATAAGTGTTGTAAACATAATCAGTGATTATATGATTATTAATCACTAACCAAACCATCTCAACACCGGTTCTCTTCTCGATATAAGACTTATCCCAAAACTTTTGTGTCATTCTCTCGAGACCTAAATCGCCGAAGAATTTGTCGGCCAAATCAAACATGTCCTTGGCCGTTTTTTCCTGCAAATCATTGTATAAAATATCAATATATTTCGCTAGAGTTTGTTTTCCAATAATTCATTACCTGTTTCACCATTTCCTCCGTCACATCAATTGTTTTAATGTCTGGATATGGATCCACACCGGGAACCGTATTCATGATATTACTCCACTGTTGTGCCCACATATTGCCCAACAGATGTGCGGGTATAGTGCCGTCTGTGGGCAATTTGTCGGGATATGCTTTCTTCAGATGTTTCCTCACATATGCGTGAAGTTTCTCGTAGAATGGGTTCAATTTTTTCCACAAGTCTTCAGTTTGTGTCTTAATATCCGGTGTTTCCCACGGGAAGAGCCACAGATCGTCCAGCGTTTTAAACTCTATTATTTATAAATTATTTACAGATCGTATTAATATACGATACTTATAAAAATATTATGGCATACCTTTATTGGGCAATTTGTTAAGAGTGGCCGCTTTGTTGCCTAACGTATAATATTCAATGAAATCCTTTCGCATGAGTTTTCCCGACACATCTCTCCATTTGGTCCAAACCTCTTCTAAAAGGGCGTAATCCTTTGATTCGGCCATTATTTTATTTAGATCTGAAATGTAAATTCATCTAGATTATGTATATAACTTAAATTAATCCCCACGGCAAACGTACGAGGGTCCAGTTCTTGGTTGCAATTGCAGGTGCATTCTCCCAGGCACACTTTGGCTGTGCTGTACGTGGTCTCCATATTACTCGTCGCTTTTATATACTAAAACAAACATGGTTAAATCATATATTAATTATCATTAAATATTAACTAGTTAAAACAGGGAAGTTAACTAAATAAAATGCACACATTTTGCTCGTCGTCGCCGGTGAGGGCTGCGGTGCCAATGATTGCCAGTTTCTCAAACTGTCGCTTGTTTTTGGGCTCAAAGTTAGTCCAGTCGTATTTCTTGGTTTCAATTGACTGTTCCTTTTGAAACGCGTTGAACGCTTTGGTCGCTTCTTCCTATCGGTGGCAAACATTTTTATTATATAACTATACGATTATTGTACCACAAAAAAATGTTATGCTATTAACTATTAATATGATAAATATATTTGCAATATGTCGTAGAGTTAATATTATTATAACAATTAACAATATAAATGATATAAAGATGTGACAAACCCTGGCCTTAGCGGTGCTATCTCTGATGTCGGTGGCGTAGTTCCACTCTGCCTCAGTGTTTTTGTTCATTTCTGTGGCTAAATTGGTATTCACTCTATTCAGATACGCTATGGCCTGCGCTTCATCTTTGATCAGGTCTTCGGCCGCCACGACATTGCACTCAATCGCCACATATATTAATGGTATTAGCAATAGGTATAACCGAAAATTCATCGTTAGGCTGATTGACAGGCAATCAAATTAAAATTTTAGTTTTTAAAAATACTGTTAAAACAATGTTTACCCGAATGTGCGCTCAATGAAAACCAAAATGAATTTACTTTTTTATTATAATTAATAAAAACTTTATATAACATAAAAACCTTAAGTTAAATTATGTCATAGATGATGAGCATTGTTGTCAACTAATTATCTAGGGCTCTTTGAGTGTCATATAACTTAATTACACCAATTCAAATGCATTTTATTGTAGCATTTCTATAAACACTATTTATATGTTACGAAACTAAAAGGTATAATGCATACAATGTTAGGCATTTTATTAATTTTTGTATTAAATCATGTAGAAAATTTGTTTGTTCATATGTTATACTATTGCAAAATTTATGTTATGTTATTTACTTATTATGAGCCAGCAGTAATTCTGTATGCATATGGTAAAATTAGTGATGTATTTATTTGTTTTGGTTCAGTATTTTCAATACTGTAAGTATCGGCATCTTTTTATATAATCTTAGTATACATTTATGTTTTAATAGTTTAATAGAAATATGAGTTTGTTTTTCAAATAAACGATAATTATCTTAATATATAAAATAATACATCATTTGCGGAACTTTTACATTAAAGTTTCTATTTTATGATAGAATATATCGTATTTACTTTAGTAATTACTACAATTAAGTTATTTTCAGAGAGAGA